AGATATATGTGTAAAGCAGAAACTTATTACCCTAAAAAAAAAATAGAATCTACAACAATGATTGCAGATGGTGTAATTCAAATTCAAAATATCATGGTCTACAACTAAGGAAACATCACAACTAAAACTCCATTAGTATGCTCATAAACAATTTGGATTTATTATAGATAGGTACCCAACACGAGAAACAATGAATGTGGTCCGAATATTGCAGAGTTCTTGAGAAAAAAAGCTCTCCAAACTGAAGTTGTCGGAATCATTCTTTATCCAATTTAGGCCACTACCATTTAAAAAAGTAAATAGAAATATAGAACTAGTCTAAGTCACAGCAAAAAGAAAGTTCATTCTCCCATTACAAATTCAAAGGCAAATCTATAAATTTAGATCTTGATACTTACATAAACAAAAAATGTAAATCAAAGTTTCAAAATGATCATTAAAAATTATAGTGTGATAGATGTAGTATCTTATTTTTAACCAAAAACGTTGAATTCAAGCCATGATTGAATTTTTTTTTTATAGCAAGCGTTTTCTTTTTTGATGAGTATTACCCAAATCGATTTCAAGTTAATTCGATCCAAAAATAAATTTCGATGCCGAGTGACAAATCAAATCGCCCCCATAACCCGTTTTCCCATACAAAATTTATTTATTTATTATTTTTTAAAAATTTATTTGGTTATACATTGGACTGAATTTTTAATTCTTTTTGAAGATGAATTTTCAAATCATGTAAAATTTCATTTCCTCACGGAATTGAAAAACAGTTTCACGTAAAATACATATCTAAACATAATTTTAAATTTTAATTTTTTTTCAACTTAACTCTAATAAATACCTTTAAAAAAATCAGAATTTTTTATATCCAAACGCCTACTTAAAGAGATCAAATTCCTTTTCTAGTCCAACTCGGGGTCTCTCGACCGACAACACTAAATTTCACCGCATGTCGCGCGTGCTAAATTGAAACGGACATCCCGGTCACACTTTTATATAGAGCTCCATACTATTTTGAAAATATCATGGTAGTAACGTAATTAGGTGAAAAAGTGAGGGCATCTCAGCTGAAATTGGAGGTATAAATATCCAAAAATCTGTACTACCTTCACCCCCGTCGCATCTTCCTGGTCTTCGCTGCCGAAGCGATAAAGGTAGATTATTTATTTATTTACTTTTAAATTTGTTTTTTCACTCTCACTCTTTCTGCTGTTCTATATATTTAGCTTTGAATCCCAAAAATATAGGGTTTCTATGATCTGCTTGTTTAGGCTTTAGCCCTCGACTTTTTGTAGTAAGCTTTAATTTCGGACTTATATTTTGCTGCATTTCAGTACGTGTTTCCAATTTGATTTTCTGATATTCGATTCATTGGATCAAGATAGTTTAATATTTTAAATATCTTAGTCAACTTATTGTCTTTAAAGTTCTTTTGCATGTTTATATTCATTTTGTTTCTATGATCTCTTTTACCTTGTTAAATTAGTAACTTTATTGGTAATTTTGTGGAATGAAGTCTTCTTTGCTGGAGGAGTTATTCATGTACAACTTTATTAGATTAAAACTGGCTGTTGTGTTTTATAAAAATGCTGCTAATTGCTATTTATATAATTAAGCCATAAAATTTTCTCTTTTAGTGCATAGATTCTTAACACTGCATACTTGTACTTTTTCCAAGTTCTTTGTTTATTCCAGCAAACCATATTCTTCTGTACTTTTCCTTTTTCCACAGAGTTAGGTGATTTACTATTGTTAAATAATTTGGGCTGCAATTGCCTTGACATTGATATTCTTGAGGCTATTAGATGATCTCTATCAAGTTCAAATATTGTTACTTGTTGATTTAGACAGTTAGTATTTGTTTTGTCTCTTCTTTTTACCATGCGTTCATATAGTATGAGTTGATGTGGTTGACTCACTTATTATGAGTACATTGGACCTGATTTTTGCTTCTTTAAAAAATGCATTTTCCGGCAATTCTCAAGGCATATACTTCTATAATCAGATACTGCAATATGGAGAATATGCACAGCTACTGGCAATTTGGTGATGAGCTTCGAGGGCAATCAAAAGTCATAGAGGATCATAAATGGTCAACAGCTGCTCTAAAATTGTCTGAGCAGATGAAGTACAAGGGTGAACGAAGGAATAACCTTGACCTTTCAAAGAGCTCGGCTGAAATTAGGCCCAGGGGTAGTTATGTTTTTCAGGAAGATAACAAGTGGGAAAGCCTTAACTTCAACATGTTAAATTTGGATAACAAGATGACTGAAAATATGAGCAAGAATCGCGTTGCGGATGACATTTACAATATGAATCCAGTTTATCTTAAGCCCAATTTTAACAGTTTGGGAAATACGTCTTTAAGCAAGTTCAATGTTAGCAACTACACCAAGGAACCTGGCAAGAATAACAATAACAGCATCGAAAGCGCCAATGGGAATAACTCTGTTGACAAAAGGTTTAAGACTCTGCCTTCTGCTGAGACACTGCCGAAGAATGAGGTTCTTGGTGGATATATATTTGTTTGTAACAATGATACTATGCAGGAAGACTTAAAGCGCCTGCTGTTCGGTAATTACCTTTTCCCTATCATGTTAGACATCTTCTACCCAAGTGGACTGTTGTGTTTGGTATTGGATAGCCAGGGATCTTATTTCTTGTTACTAGTGGAACAAACTACATGGTGAACGTGCTTATTTAACAACCAGTGATTTTACTCTATATTTTATGCCAGAAGGGGGGAGCCTTGGCGTAACTGGTAAAGTTGCTGCCATGACCAGGAGGTCACGGGTTCAAGCTGTGGAAACAGTCTCTTGCAGAAATGCAGGGTAAGGCTGCGTACAATAGATCCTTGTGGTCCGGCCCTTCCCCGGACCCCGTACATAGCGGGAGCTTTAGTGCACCGGGCTGCCCTTTTTTTTATGCTAGAAGCTGAAGAGCAACTAGCCAACAATTGAAGAAAATGAATTCCAACTTTGTTACTCCATCTTCCTAGTAGACTATTCTTTGTTTGATTTTCAGCCTCTGTGCATGTAACTTTATGTGACTTTTTAGTTTCCAGGGCTGGCAGAAGTATTTTCATACCCTAATTTGATAGAACATTTTAGCTTGTTCCACTAAATTTGTACCAGCAGAGCTAACTGTAAACAAAGTAGAAATCAGTTATGTTTTTCAGAAATCTTTCACCTATCCTCAACTCCAATCACAACATAGCAAAGTACCAACAAAAGTTGAAATTATTGATAAGTAGATGATGGCTAGAAAATTTCTTCGAATTGCTATCACCTCTAAACTCCAATCACTTCTTTGCAGGCCTACCTCCTAGATACAGAGATTCTGTCAGGGCTATAACTCCAGGGTTACCTTTGTTCCTATATAACTACACTACTCACCAGTTGCATGGTATCTTCGAGGTTAGTTGCAGTAACTTAGCTTTTGGTTATACTGGTGTGAGCTCAAAACCGTGATAATATCAACTGTTTTATATTTCTGTAACTAAAGAGTAATTAACATCAAATCTCATGTTGGAAGCTGCATGTCGTGCAGTGTGAAGCATAAGATTTTTAGTCATACAAAGAATATCCGTTTCTTCTCTTATCATTTTTTCTTAATTTTGTGGTTAGAAAATTTTCTCACCTAGGGTTAGGTCTGAGGCTTTGATGTGCTCTATACTTCATGGGGAACCTTATGGTTTTGCTGCTTTTGCCCTGAGCATTAACTTGCTGGCCTCTTAATTCTAGTCAAGAAATGAGTTCTGATTACTGTATCTTGTTAAATATGAGCACTAGAGCCTTTTAGAATAGCTTCAGTAGAAGGCCTATCTTGTTACTTCTCCAATTGTGTTTTATGCAATAAGCATAGTTGTTATAGAAAAGTTGGATTCAATTCAATGGAGTCTCTCCAACATGCGCCATGATTTTTTCTTTAAAATTATCTGGTCAGGCATCGAGTTTTGGAGGTTCCAACATTGATCCAACTGCCTGGGAGGATAAAAAGTGCAAAGGGGAGTCAAGGTTCCCTGCTCAGGTAAGGTTATGAATTACAGCTCACTTTTTATTGAGGCTTTTGAAGAAATCTGTATTGATTATTTAGTTTCATGTACTTAACGCTTAGGTAAGGATCCGTGTCCGGGAAGTCTGTAAGCCTTTGGAGGAAGATGCTTTTAGACCAGTTTTACATCATTATGATGGCCCCAAGTTCCGCCTGGNGGCTACAGATTTTTATCCCCTAAAACCTTACCGTTTTTTGCAGACTTTGGACTTGCTAGATCTCTGTGAAAAAGCTGGTGTCCTGTACTAATAAGCATAAAGGAATTGTAGGCTGTGTATGTTATAGGTTTGTGGTGCATGTCAGCAGTGTGCTGCCTGTAGATTCTCTGGAGCGCAAGCTTTTGGGGCAAGTCTGGTTAAGCGGTTCTAAATTTAGGATTAGCTTGTGTAAGCCAAATAAGTTTAATGCTTATCTCTGAAGATGTTCGCAGATTAGCTTCACAAATTTAGCCATGTAATCTTACTGTAAACTTGAGACGAGTAAGAAGATTACGTAACACGTCAAGATAGAATGTGTTTCTTTATCTATAGTTGAGCTCTGCTTCATCCAATTTGTTCCACTTGAATTCTTAAAATTTATTTCCTTTCTGGCGATGCTAGTGTTTATCCACCAGGAATTTGGTGCGGGTTGTCATGAGAATATTGGGTTGGTGGTGAAATTGTATCCAGTGACAAGTTTCTGCAGAAACTATGTGGCTATCTTTGGCTCATTAGGGAACAGTGATAGATTAACGTGCCGTACCCAATGTTGGCAGGGACTGTTAATGGTCCTTCCGCTGCTCATATGGAGTATGAAAAGCAGTTGTTTGGCTGGGACTGTGAATGGTCCTTCCGCCGCTCATATGGAGTATGAAAAGCAGTTGTGGGACCGTTAACTGTCCCCACAAATATCGCTGTCATGTTAAAGAAATGCTAACATATAGTACGTCCGACTAACAATCTAGATACATGTACCAAAATAATTGTGTTAAAACTTTACTTTTAAGTGTTTGGTTTGGACAGACTGCACAACTTGCAATTTGGTGTTCCTTGTAAACAGCAGTAACAAGTAGAAATACCAAACACTGACCAACTTTACAGGGTAATATTTCCTCGCTGAATCAAATGTTCTCCAGTTTAAAATTGATAGTATAAACTTCTGTCGGATGCGAATTCTTGCGGCATTAATAAGATGTTAGTAGTACTCAACCAAAACATCTGACTGGAATACCGACTGTCAGAATGGGAACAGAAGTGGAGCAGACAGCAAAGGTTCTTGATTGAAATGGAGTACAGTATGTCCAATTGGTTGAGCCAAAGTATCATTTCATGCATGGAGCTAGACAGCAAGATGTAAATGCATGAAGGTTACAAGGCGTAGAAAAAATAGAACAGTACGTCGTATTATTCCATCAGAAGTGCTAAAGCAACATCAATATCTGATGAGGAAGAAAGACAGCACCTTTATTGTCTGGCTTTGGAAGCTAAATGTTGTGGGACATCCTGACTTTCCACTGTCATTCGATGACAATTTGCCATCCTGGTTCCATTGCTGCGACATGCTAAGTTAAGCAGATTAATGCAACAGAACCCTCCTAATCAGATTTTTCTTTCACACATTTGTGGCTCCCAGCAATGATATCAGGTGTGCCTTTGCCCTTTGGGAAAAGTTCCTCGATTACAATCCCAGGTCTGAATTGTACTATCTAGAATATCTACGGATTTCCCGGATTCTCATTATACCTATGTTTCAAAGAGTAATACCATTATCAGGAGCAATCTGAAGAGCCAGGGAACTGAGAAAAAGTAAGCAGTTTTATGTTTGCGGTACCACTTAAAATAAGTATTTTTTCATCGTAATTTCTTGAACCGGCAGCATTGCTTGTTTGTCCCTGCAATAATGCTCGTATCCAGCAGCAGAAAGCTGGAGCGCCCCCAGGTATGGTTCTCTTTACAATCAAGAGAAATTAAAGCTGCTGTGGATTATCCCTTGGTCTTCAAAATATCCTCTTTCTGAGACTTGCTTGTATATGTCTTCTACTCAAGTAGCTCTTATCCGTCATAGGATATTGTCATCTGAAGTGAAGAAAAGCAGAAACGACTATGAAGTAGTATCCTCACTCTCCCTGCAGCACATTGATAAAAAGATATTGAAAAGTAAAGAATAGCTCTATTTCCAATCTAAGTGAATACCTTCAACATTATTAATGTGAATCCTCCTCCAGAATTTTGGACGGAGCCGTTGGAGCCTAAAAAGTTTTCCTGAGAGAGGTAATACTGCCTGAGGAATGTCAAAGAAAGTGCTAATGTTGCCATGTCATTCTGGTTACAGGAAGCCCATTCAACAAAGATTGAATAAGGACGCAAGAAGGTTCATGCTTCAGGTAAGACTTGTTTTGATATTCACTTTAATCCAAAAACTCCAGTCCACCTAAAGGAACTTATCTGATGGTCGTATTACACACAGATGTGATACATACAGGTCCGAATGGCAATTGCCGTGAAATCCGAAACTACGATCTCCTTCAAAATATTCTATAAATGATGAACAAACTTATGTAGCACCATTTACAAGGCTCCAACCCGGTGTTTTCTTTAAGCTTCCCTCTTTCATCTGCTTCCTTAGTTTTACCACATCCTCCCATCTTCCAGCCTCTGCATACATATTAGATAAAACAACATAAACACCATGACTATTTGGATTCAAAAGCAGAATTTCTTTCACAACTCGTTCTGCAATATCTATGTTTCCATGGCTCTGACATGCATGTAATAAGGATCCCCAGATAACCACGTCAGCCTTCAAAACCATTCCTCTTATGAGCAGCTCAGCTTCTAGCAGTTTCCCATTACGCCCAAGGATGTCAACCACACATCCATAATGCTCAATCTTGGGCTCTATACCATACAACTCTTTCATGGAGTGAAATATTCCTTCACCATAGTCAAACAATCCGGCATGGCAGCATGCTGACAGAACCCCAACTAGTGTAATATCATTTGGCTTTACTTTTTCTTGTTCTAGCTTCTTAAAGAAGTTAATTGCTTCTTTCGCATGCCCATGAGCAGCTAAACCACAAATCATTGCATTCCAAGTTGCAATATTCCTTTCTCGCATAGCACTGAAACACTTCTTTGCTTCTACTATGGCACCATTCTTTGCATACATGTTCACTAACGCCGTGCCAAGAATCACTCCTAATTCTATCCCTTTTTCTTCCATATATACGTGAATCTGTTCTCCTAATTGCAAACTATCCGACTGAGCACAAGCTGACAAAACAGAAGCCAAGGTAGCTCCATTGGGCTCGATTCCATCTGCAAGCATACGCTCAAACAACTGAATAGCGTCACTATACCTATCATTCTGAGCAAACCCACAAATCATCGTCGTCCAAATACTCAAATTTCGCTCAGTAATTTCATCGAACACTCTCCGTGCATCCTTTAATACACGACAAACAGAATATACTCTGGTCAAACCATTAACAACATGCAAATCTAAATCCAACCCGAATTTAATGACATGGCAATGCACTTGTTTACTAACAGAAATACACATCAAGTTAGAACAAGCCTTGAGTACAAAAGGGAATGTATGTTTGCCGGGACTGACGCAAAGCCTTCGCATTTTTACATAACGGAGCAAGGCTTGTTGGGGAGTTGAGCTACCAGCTTGAGCTCTAATGAGAGTGTTCCACATGAATGAATTGGGTTCATTGATACTATCAAAAAGTTTTAAGGCATAAGAAAGGTTACCGGATTCCGAAAGAGCACAGAAGGTTAGTAAGCGGCTGGCAGCATAATTGTCGTGGATACGGGCAGTGATGATCATTTGGGCATGGATTTGCTTGAGTTGGTACATTGAAGTGCATTGGTCGGCTAGAAGAGACAAGCGTGGAGGAGAATAAGGACCAACGGTGATAGTACAGAGGTGCCTGCTATGGAGTCGCCTGAACTTGAAGAGGTTCCATTTTGGCGGGACCATTATTGAGAACATCCTCCTTGTCATACATACAGTTACATATAGTACCGAGTCTTCATGGTGGGACACTAGTATTTATGGGGATGGAAGAGTGATTAGCTTTGTTTCGAATTATATATTTGTCTTAAAAAATCGTTAAATATACATTTAAAATACAGTAACTTAAAAGTATTAAAAAAATTTAAACCTATAAGTTTGAAATCCTGATTCCACGTCATTGTATGCCTTTGCTAAATTTGAACAATTGACAATAGCTATAAGATTTATTCGTCTGTGACAATATTTCTGAACAATTTAACGAGATAGGTAGAATGAATAATATGAAATTTTGGCTACCGATCAAGGCTCGTGAACAATTGCACAATATAGTAGGTAAGTGAGGCTTGCTCAGTTAGTAAAAGCACCTCCACCCACGACCGTTAGGTCCTGAGTTCGAGTCACGCTGGAGTAAAGTATGAAAACATTATAGATACTCCTAATTTGGGAGATATTTTAAAAAAAAACAGATTGTCCATCCATCAAAACTTGTGAACAATTTAACAAGAAGATAAATAGAATGAAAATAGTACCGGATAGTGTTTGCCAACCGATTGAATTTGTGAACAATTGAACAAATGTGCAAAATTTGTCCATCCAGGAAATATATGAATAATTTAATAAAATAAATAAAATTGAAATAATACCAAATTGTGATTGCCCAACAATATTTGTGCAATTAACCAGGCATAATTTTTCCATTTTTTCTATTGTGCAGCGCTAGGACTATGTTTACAAAACTTTCGTAGACGATAGTTGCCTCAAATCATCCTAAATCTTCCCTTTTAATTGGAATTAAAATATATCGGACTTAAAAGAAGAAAGGGAAAAGGGAAAGCATTAAGGAAAACAATGGACCATTAGGACTTGTGTTGAATTGGTGACTACTTTCTCATCTTTTAAGTAAAGATTTTGTGTTTGAAAGTGAGACTTTAGTAGGCGTTTCTACATAAAAATTGTATTTTTTTGAAAAAAATTAATATTTGAAGTTAAGTAGAAAAATGATATTTAAAATTTAAAAAGTATATTTGGACATGCATTTCACCTGAAAAAATATTATAATTTTGTGAGTAAATTTTTTTTCTGAAAAAGTGGTCAAAATCACTTTTTAATTTTTGAAAAACTTATTTTTTTTTCTTTTCAAAAGCTTGTAAAATTTCGTGGACAAATAATTTTTTTAATGGACAAAGGTGCCTTAATCGGCTTCAACACAAAAATTAACAAAAACAATGGGCTGGGGACATGGTATGATGAATAGACAACATGCGAAAGCGTAGTGTTTCACACAATTGACATTAATTGTTTCTTTTTATCTCACACATTTCAGTACTCATATCTTACACATTTGGTCCATAAAATTCTGATACCATATAATTGTAAAATAATAATAAAAAAGATCTCACAGAATAAAACTTTTCTCCAAGTGCCACACTTGTTCCAATTTCCAACTAATCCACCGTGGCTATCGAGGCGACCTCAGACCTTACAATGTTCTGACACATCAGATTTCACACCGCCCTTAATCACCGTTAGATTTCCAATAACGTGGGACCCTTTCAGAAAAACTTTTCTTTCTAGCTGCAAAATTCCTGACTTAGGAATTCACCTCAAAAGATCCCTTTTTTATTCATTCATCTCTCTGCACACAACACACCCCTTAGCATAGCAGAGAAGCCGGCGGGAGAAGAAGAAGCTGAGAAGTGAGAAAAATGCCTGGGATTATTGGACCTTCCGATTATTCTCGAGAACCCCCTCGCCATCCTTGCCTCAAAATTAATGCCAAGGTTACTCTTATATACATTCTTAGTGCTTATGAATTACTTGTTCTTTTCATCGTTATTTCGGATTTTCTATTGCGATTTTCTGCTTATTGGTTTAGAAGACTATCTGCTGATCAAATTATTACGGGAATTGTCAATTTTCTTTTGGGGTGTAGGAACCATTTAATGCTGAGCCAACTCGTTCTGATTTGATATCATCTTATATCACTCCTGTTGATTTCTTTTACAAGAGAAACCACGGACCCATACCAGTAGTCGATGACATAGAGAGGTTTCATTTATGCCTTGGCGTAATTTTTGTAAAATCCTTTCATGGTTTGTTATATTTTAGAGTTTTCTTGCTTATAGTGCTGAGCCTGTTTGCAGGTATTCTGTATCTGTGTGTGGTCTTATTGAAAATTCCAATGAACTATTTATGAAGGATATTTGGTGAGCATACTAGACTCTACTGTGCATACTCCTTTATATCGATACTTCAATTTTCAAGCTACTCACTAAAATAATTGACTTATTTTTTGTGTATAAATATAAATAACAGGAAGCTTCCGAAGTATACTGTTACTGCCACTTTACAGGTAAATTCCAAATTCTCCGGCTCTAGGTCATACAGGTATGTGTTCATCCAAACTTAGTAGCTTTGGCTTGGACCACCTCGTCTATGTGTTCAAAAATTCACTAAATATATACAAAAAAAAGTGATTTTGAACCCATTAAATCAAATGAATTGTAGTAGAATCCAAAATTCAAACACATACTGTTCAAATCCAGGATCAGCTTCTGAGGTCATTGTGTTCGCGGCAATGGGAAATGAGAAAAACGAAAAAGAATTTTTCTAGCCATATCTTATAACATTCTCATGAGAGAAATATGCACTACTGTAGATCATTCAGTTTTTTTGCAAAACTAATTTGTTTAATTCTTCTCTAGTGTGCTGGTAACAGAAGAACTGCTATGAGCAAGAGTCGAACAGTGAGAGGAGTTGGTTGGGACATTTCTGCTATAGGAAATGGTAAGTTGATTCAGATTTCTTGCCGAGTTATCTGATTTCTCTACTCTTTGCCTATCAAGAAGTATATTCCTTTTTTGTTTTGGCCTCTTGTGAAAATTAAATGAAACCTTTCATCTAGGGTCATCCAAGCATATTTTGATGTCTATTGGTTAAACCTGCATTGCATCCATCATAGAAAACTTGGGAAATAAAATAGATTGGATGGAGAATTTGCAAATAGGTAGACATAGTTCAAGATTTCTGTGTGGGTAAGTTTCCACTTCTTTTCATTATCTACATGTGATCATGTATGCACACTCTTCCCTAAGTAGCCAAATACAATTTTAAAGGTAATCTCTGTTAATGCAATTTCATTGAAGTCGATAGAGTTAAAGGATTTTTTCTTGGTAGACTTGCTACACTACCATAGACATCAAGTAGTTTAAAGGAGATCACCATCAATCCCCCTTTGTAGCTCCCCCATATTACTTTAACTTGTTGTAATACAAGACTTGGTAAAATGCGATTGCTTTAACTGCTTCGTATGGGTTGTTCCTTTTTCTTCAACTTATGAGAGGTTCCACTTCCTATACATTTACATGTCTCGCTGCTGATTTCAAGATGCTGCATAATTTAATTGCCTTTCTATTTTTTTCTTTGTTACTCACTTATTTCGTTTAGCTCTCCTTGGAGGATTCAGTGTCTGATGTGAGTATTACTTTACTACATGGAATGTCTCTGACCAATGGAATCAATTTCTAGTCATTATTTTGGTATTCTAAAAGAATTCATTCGAGGAACTTAATCAAGTCCTGCGCCTCGACACGTGTATAACAGATGATGGGTTTGTGTTTTATTAGCACTTGAGAGATTCCAACGAGCTTATATAATATCAATTAGAACTAAGTTCATGATTGCTTTCTCAAAAAAGGAACTAAGTTCATGATCCAGTTGGTTACCTATCGCGAAATGGTCCTTACATTACTTCAATGAAGTATGTCTAGTGGGATGATAAGTTCCAATTCGCAAAGAAAAAGACTTCTTTTTGTTACGTACAGTTAAGTGGTCATGTGCACCAGATGTAAATAAAATTGGATGACTTAGCCAAGAGGGCTTAATAGATATTCTAGTTTCTGCATTCCTCTGAGAGGCTTAGGGACCTATTATTAAGAAAATATGTGAGACTTGGGACTTTAAATTTGAAAAATATTTAACACAGGAACCAAAAATTGTACTAGAGTATCTCTATTCACTTTACTATGGTAATGTGTGACTTTCCAACTTATAGTTTTCTTTGATATGATATTCACAGTTTTCAAGACCTCAAAAATCATATAGAAAATGCGATATTTTCTGTATCAAAACTTTTCTGCTATTATTTCAATATTTTTTCCACTACTTATATTATAAAAGAGTCAAATTAACATCTTAAGCTCTATACCTAGTCGCATAAACTGGAATAGATGGAGTTATAGGTTGTGGAACTTGTAATGATTGAGTGAAAGGAGTATATGAATTTATGTTTTATTCTAATCTAATTCATAGTCTTGTGCATATGGTAAAGAATTAATTAAACTTCGAAGTTGTTATGAATTTTACGTTATATTGATGCATCGTTCCCTCCACCAGAAACCACTTTTCCAGGTGATGTGCATTAGGATGGTTTCCTTTTATTTTTTTTGGGACAAAAAAACATGTTTACTTAAAATGCTCTTGATGCTTCAATTTTTATAAAACAAAATAGATTTACATTTAACTAATTACATTGTTGTGCATTTCAGCTGTTTGGGGTGGAGCGAAATTGGCAGATGTTCTAAAATTAGTTGGAATACCTTATTTGACAAGTATCACACAATCTGGAGGAAAACATGTTGAATTTGTGAGCATTGACAAGTGTAAGGTTGTTTCTTTTTTCCCTTATTTTTTTCTTTTACCTTTCTTTACTAGAAACATATACTTAGCTGTAAAATTTTCCTGGCTCAACAACATATTTATGTTTCTAGGAGGAAAAGGGAGGTCCTTACAAGGCATCAATACCATTGAGTCAGGCTACAAACCCTGAAGCTGATGTTCTACTCGCTTATGAGATGAATGGCGAGGTAATACAAGTCGCGTTTTTTCTTAAATTATTATTAAATATGTTTGTTTTCTCAGTTTCATCTTTTATTGTTTTGTAAGATGGTATGCAATAGATTCAATGTTGTGTGTAGCTTCAGTCTTACATTAATTTGACCTATTGTCCTTATTCAGCTCCACCTATGTTGTAAAAAATTTACATCTCAAAATGAT